CCAGCCGCATCAGCGTCCCGGCGTAGCTCAGCTCTGGGGGGACAGGCAGGGCAGGGCTGGCCCAGGGGCTCCACAGCCTTGGGGTGGGGGGGTTGGGGCTGCAGGGAGGCTGGGGAGGGGCTTTGGACAAGGAGGGATGGGCCAAAAGGGAATGGCTTTAAAGTGAGAGGGGAGATTTAGGTCAGACATGAGGAGGAAGTTCTTTCCTGTGAGGGTGGGGAGACCCCGGCCCAGGTTGCCCAGGGCAAGTGTGGCTGCCCCATCCCTGGCAGTGTTGAAGGGCAGGTTAGATAGGGCTGGGAGCAACCTGGTGGGAGTTGTCCCTGCCCATGCAGAAGTTGGAACTGCATGGTCTTTAAGGTCCCTCCCAACCCAAGCCAGTTTGGGATTTTATGATCCCATTTACAGGGACAATCAACTTAGCAGCTTCTACATCCAGGTGGGGGCAGGATGAAGCCCAGGCAGAACATCTTCACACAAAACCTGGCTGTCAGCCACCTGGCCCTTCTTACTGAGCCTCCCAGGGAGCTCACCCTCCAGCAGGAAGGAGGGTGGCTCACACACACACTGGTCACACACATCTCTTCAACGAGGAGTAAACCCAGAGCTGTACAGCAGCTGCTGCACCTAACAGAGGAGTAGACCCAGCAGAGGAGAAACGAGCCAACCAAACACACCACATGCAAACACTGCTGACAACAACCAGACCTCAATGCAAAGCTCTGATATCCATTTAGCATCACTACAAAGCCTTGTTCCATCCCAGGACAGCTTAGGAATGCTGAAGGCATTCCTAAGGGGGTTGGAGCCAGCAGAGGCAACAGGACAGTCAAGGGGAACATGAAACACAGACTCCAGCACACACCCCCATTTCAGAAGGGAAAGCCAATCGCTCCTGGTCAGGAGAATCTCACTTCTCTCCCCAGAAGTAGGTACAGATGCACACAACACACCCACCTAGATGGTCCCGGTGTAACTGCCAGGCACATTGGAGGGACTCCGGGGCCGTGTGATGCCAGCGAGCTGCGGCAGCCAGGACGGGGCCCGGGCCTGAGGGCGGCCCCACAGGGCGACGGCTGCTGATCCCAGGGCTGCTGATCCTAGGGCTGGAGATGATCCCAGGGCTGGAGATGATCCCCCTGCTGCTCCCAGCGCGGCTGGAGCTCCCGCTGCTGCTCCCGCTGCGCCGGGCCGGCAGCCCCAGCAGCCCCGCCAGGCTCCGGCACCACATCCTGGCAGAGGAAGGACAAGGACAAGGTGACTCGCCCCGGGGCCGCCGCCCCCAGCAGCCCCGCCAGGCTCCGGCACCACATCCTGGCAGAGGAAGGACAAGGACAAGGTGACTCGGCTGTGCCAGGAATCACATCCCGGTCCTGAACTCCGCGCTCCTATGCCAGGCCCCAGCGGCGCTGCTGGGAGGGCTGGTGCTGTCCTGCACAATTTAAGGCCACCGACAGCAAGCAGGAGGGTGAGAACCAGTCCACACTGGAGGAGGAAGGAAAGCAGCAGGACACAGGCAGCCCGGCCCAGGGGAGTCACCCACCTCCAGGCGCCACTGGGACATGACAAGTTCAGAGAGTCTTGCATCAAACTCCTTCATTGCCAAGTCCAAGAGCCAGGGTCTGGCATTCCCCCAGGGACAATGCCATGGGACACACTGCTTCCCCAGTGCCCCCAGTCCCCCCCACAGCCACCTCCACAGAACTGGGTGCTCCACCCTCCTCCAGACCAGCCACAGCAGATATTTCTGCAGACATCACCCACGCCCTGGAAGACAACCATGAGGTGCAAACTGGGTGTCCTCAAGAACTGTGTGTGATGGGAGAAGAGGGAATTAGTTCACCCATAGGCATCAATTCATTTTTTTTACACAAACAGTCCAACCCAGCCCTGCACAGCAGCTGGAAACAGGTGGAGGAGAGACAAAGGTCTCCTGCTTGTTTTGTGACCACCACAAAGCACAGCAGAAAATAATCCTGAGAAGAGACAAATGAGATCCTGGGATTTATCAGGCAAAGCAATTCCAGAACAAACAGTTGTATTCAATGCTCTTGTACAAATATACCAGCAAATCCTATCTGCTGCAGGGCTTGTCCCCTCTCTGGCCTTCCCAGTTTGAATTCACCATTCCTGCACAGAGCTACAGGGGTGAGGGAAGTAGAGAAGAGTGACCTTGACAAGCAAGAACTAGAGGGATCCAGCAATTAGGTCAGTTCTAGAAAAAGTCTGCAAAACAAGGAAGAGGAGGAAGATCCCTGCCTCTGCTGAAGGACACAGCTGGCGTGGGAGAGAAACCGACCGCGGGTAATTTTAGTGCAGAGGAGAAGGTAATTTCTCAGAGGGAGTTTCAAACAACTCTTTGATACAAAGAGCAAGGGCAGACATTTCACATGCTTTAAGGTACACCCTGGCGTGTTGATGAAGTTCTGGAGGTCAGGCCTGAACCCAGCAGGATTTCAGTGGTGAAGACCAAAGAACCAGGGCACTGCTGGGTGAGACACGGGCTGGGAACGCAGCTCTTACCCCTGACTTCTGATTTCCTTTCATTTCCTTATCTGAAGGGTACAGGCACTGCTGCTCTGGCTGTCCAACCTGCTTGGCCCCTTCAGAGCTGACTCTGTGCAGAGGTCTCTAAAGTTGGTAATAACAATAATATCAACAGAGGGCCCATATTCCCCCAGAACCTGCTAAGTAGGAGGAAAGAAAGCCAGTCAGCTCAGGGGAAATCGAAGTAGAACCATTTTCATCAAGTGAACTTTTTCAAACAACAGCTCTAGTGCTGCTGAAAGATTTCAGCTGGGAAGGTTCTGGTTTCTGGGGCTGCTGGGAGCTTCTCAGAGCTCCTTGCTCACTGCCTGACACCCCCAACAACCAAGACCTCTGCCCCTCAGACCCTGCTGCAGAGCCCGTGGAACTCTCTGTAGATGGAACATCCTGGAAGACTCTGGCCTTCTCCCTACAGACAGGGAGAGTGGGGCAGGGCAGAGCTACCCCAGCCTCAGCTGGGACTCCTGGGGGTCTGGAGTCCCACAGGCACAGCCTCTGTTC